AAATAAATAAACTGAAAAAATAAAAACAATTTTTACATGAGCATAGGTACAAAACCTGGCACTTAAATGTCACAAACCACATTCTCACTTTCAAGCTAGTCATAGCCCCCTAAGGTAAGCTCCTCTGGCCAAGAAAAGTCAATTCATGAAATGAAGATAGTGACTTTGGCTCCCTAAATCTAATCAATAATTCTCTGTTGTGCATCTAACAATGCGGTGTAAGATGCCACAGAGGAAACTCAGAATCACAAACACAGAAAATGATATCATTATGAAATGATTGGAAAGGCTGCCGTCAAGGGTTTCCAGAAAGGGGAGAGAAAGACGGCTGAGGGATCTGCAATAGACAGTGACTATGTCACTTGTTTTTAAGTAAGCACGACATGCAATAGTAAGTCACTCTTTTCTGCTCTTCCCTAAGAGAAAACCACTAAATATGGTGCCTGTGGGACATGAAGACGCCACCCTCTACTATTGTTTTAACACCTTCCACAGTTGCTATCTTTGAGTAGAATACAAAATTTGTTGGTTTCAGAGTATCTACTACAGTAGGGGGTAAAGGGGGAGAAACCATGGTTGTTGCTTTTCTAATTTAGCATAGAGTGTAGAATGAATTGGAATCAGCTAGAATGCTTATGAACAAGGCAGATTCCTGGCTACCCAACCCAAATCTATCGAATCAAAATATTGGAGATAAGGCCTTGTTTCCAATTATTCTTGGGCACATTAAAGTTTGAGACATGCCCGTGGTGGGTTTCCTTTGGAAATTCTGAGCGCCTGTAACCAGTTCCCTGTTCCCCACAGCTTCACAATGAAGGAGACTTCATGGGGCCCGTATATCACCTCCGTGCAGGGCCTAAAGGCCAACAGTAATGAGAGAACCTACTGGGAAATTCTGAGTGGAGGCATACCACTGAGCCAAGGTAAAGGATAGATACAGACAAGACCCATGAGGTGACAGTGCTTGGAGCACTCCCGTGCGAGAAAGAGAGCTTTCGTGGGAAATGGGCCAAGAGGTTGGGAGAGGTGGTGAGTCCCCTGAGCCCATCACATGGTGATTCACCTATTTGTCCTTCTTTTTTTTTAGGAGTTGGTAGTTATGTTGTCCATGATGGAGAATATTTGGAGATTCGTTGGAGCAAATACTAATCAATCAAAACCTTCCTCAGCTGGTTCTAAGATCTAATTCATTTGCAATGGACATTTATGCAGAAAGCAGCCCCACACTTCCTCTTCGCTCTTCCTAATCTCAGTGGATGAGTCAATTCTCCACTTCCCTCTGCCTGTTCAAGAAATAAACCAATAACTGAACAAAAAGAGCATGTTCTTATCCATTCATGTGAAATAAAAGGGATTATTATTATTATAAGAGGAAAGGCCACTTGAAGTGAAATAAAATAAGATCGGGCCGCATGTTTCATAAACTGGGTTCCACTTCTGATTTCCTATAACCTGGAAGAGTGACACTGAACAACTCAAAAAAAATAGAAATAAGGTTCAATGTCTAGTGTTGCAGGAACAACCAATGAGATTAAGCAAAGAGACCCAGCTCTCAAGGCCTGAATACAAGAGAGAAGGATCTAACTGTCTAGATAGACCTCATTTTTTTTTTTGAGAGAGAGGGAAAGAGAGAGAACTTTGGTGCCCTGGAGAAAGGGTAAAAGGTGAAATTTACACATTTTCAAAATCAATCCATACAGTTTTGGAAACACTATCGCCCCTGCTGATGTCTCCACTGTGTTCTTCTTGTTGCTCTCCAACCTCACTCTTTCGTTATCTTCTCCATAAAATGATCCTGATATTTAAAAAATACTTTTTTAAGTGAGTCATGTCTCAGTAGCATGAGCCAGGTTACACTTGGCCTGAAGTACCGGAGCTACATGCATAGCATCAGAGCCCAGAAGTCCCTGTAAAGTGGTAAACGGAGAAGCTGCCTGATGTAAAGCATCAGCAAACCATTTAAGATGCCCTCTGGGAAAAGATGCTTTCCAGCAGAATTAGCTTACTTGTTACAGCCATGTTTCTTTACTTACACATCTTCTATTTTCTGAAATGTAAACACCCATCTAATTACACTCAAAAACTGTTCATTTTTTCATTTTATTTTCAGAGCCTGTGTTTGAGCCCTGTAATGTCCAGTGAATTAACTGCACAAAGACTTTTTTTCCCATCGTTTTATTGGGGGCTCATACAACTCTTATCAAATTCCATACATACATCAATTGTGTAAAGCACTTTTGTGTATTCATTGCCCTCATCATTCTCAAAATATTTGCTCTCCACTTAAGCCCCTGGCATCAGCTCCTCATTTTTCCCCTCCCTCCCCACTCCTCATCCCTCATGAACCCTTGTTACAAAATAAATTATTTTGTCATATCTTGCCCTGTCTGACGTCTCCCTTCACCCACTTTTCTGTTGTCCATCCCCCAGGGATGAGGTTATATGTAGATCCTTATCATTGGTTCCCCCTCTCTCCCCCACCCTCCCTCCACCCTCCTGGTATCACCACTCTCATCACTGGTCCTGAAGGGATCATCCATCTTGGATTCCTTGTGTTTACAGTTCCTGTGGGTAGCAGTGTACATCCTCTGGTCTAGCCAGATTTGTAAGGTAGAATTGGGATCATGATAATGGAGGAAGAAGCATTTAAGAACTAGAGGAAAGTTGTATGTTTCATCATTGCTACACTGCACCCTGACTGGCTCATCTCCTCCTCGCGACCCTTCTGTAAGGGGATGTCCAGTTGCTACAGATGGGCTTTAGGTCCCCACTCCGCACTCCCCTGCATTCACAATGAGATGATTTTTGTTCTTTGATGCCTGATACCTCATCCCTTCAACACCTTGTGATCACACAGGCTGGTGTGCTTCTTCCATGTGGGCTTTGTTACTTCTGTGCTAGATGGCCACTTGTTTACCTTAGAGCCTTTAAGACCCCAGATGCTATATCTTTTGATAGCCGGGCACCATCAGCTTTCTTCACCACATTTGCTTTTGCACCCATTTGTCTTCAGCGATCATATCTGGGAGGTGAGCACACAGTGATATGATTTTTTTGTTCTTTGATGCCTGATAACTGATCCCTTCGGCACCTCGTGATCACAAAGGCTGGTGTGCTTCTTCCAGCACAAAGACTTTTAACTGTTAGATTTCTCCCCAGTGCCTTAAACAGCATATTGTAAACTACATGCCTCAGATGATGAAGGATGTCGAGCCTTAGAAGTGGCCCAGGCTATAGGGAAGTGGTGGCTGGTAAGCAGCCAGGCAGTTGTCTGAATATAAACAGGTCGAGGGGGAAAGCCTTGGTCATACTTGCACATTAGTGAAGCCTCCGAATGCATTCACCCAAAGTTTTGGTGAAATATATTCTCCCAGCATTCCCTTCACTGCATCACCAGCCCCAAGCTCCTCACCTGAACAGCACCAGCTGCCTTGCTGTCCAAACGTCACTTCAGACAGGCTGGGAGGGTCTATAGTCAGTAAACTGAGATAAGCACATGGAAAATTGTTGTATCAGGAAGGTCACCACAGGTGGTTTGAAGTGGCTGGGGGCTGGAAGGGGTGGGGTTGAGGTTACGTTACAAAAAGCATATATATAAGAGAAGGTAGAGACAGGCTACACTTATAAAGCTTGGAATCTGTGGACGGGGTCAGACATGGTCAGGACAGGAAGACTGGAGATGCCCGGGTTTGTCCTCCAACTCCTGAGCCTTCTCTGGGCTGCAGCAGAGATGAATACCCAGATCCGGAGCTCCTGCTGTGAGTATGGTGTTATTTTCCAAGCAAATCAGAGAAGCAGCTCGCTGGGGGGAGGGGCAGAGACCTCACACACCCATGTTGGCAGATTTGAAAATAGCAATCACTCTATCTATTCCAAAACTCGCTGTCATCAATTCCTACTAGAACAAGGTAGCATGGCTCCTTAGGGTTTCTAGTGAAGCAGTCTCATCTTACCCCCAGAGAGCAGGTGGTGGGTTGCAACTGCCAACCTTTCAGGTAGCAGTCCAATGGTTAATCCACTGCACTAGCAGGACTCCTAGCAATCACGAGAGGCGTTCCAAAAAGGGAAATGTGAGTATGAGTTGATCACCATCTTCAAACAACTTAGTAGCATCAGTTGTGTGAAGGACCAGTCTTTAGTTTATAGTAAAAGAGACTGAAATGCTGTTGCAGGGATGACGGCTAGTGATATAAAGACAGACACTGTGTGGCTACTTGAACAGGTACCACTTCTAGAGGGGGCCTTGGTAGCGGCTAAGGACAAGTCACATCCCAAATCTTTCATTCCCTTGGTGAAAGAAAGGAGAAGATAGAAACGGGTGGGACAAAAATCGGTGATTTCTAGAAATGTGCTGGAGCACAACGGAAAAGTCCCTAAGACATTGTCCCTGGAGTTACTAAATGAAAAACCCCTTTCTTGAAGATATGGGCATTTGAAAAGTTATAGGACCTGTTCAAAGGACAATCTCAATGTTTGTCCAATTCTCAGGATAACCGCTTCAAAGGGCCATCCCTTGGCAGACCAGCACGAATTCTATCTTTGCCTAAAAGGCATAGGAGAAGCAGCAAACCTATTTCTGCCGAAGGGGGAATGCAGCCTAGGAGTTTAGCAGATTGCTCTTGTCTTCTCAGTTGTCCCCTCTGCCCAGCAGCCCGCAGTTCACAGCATTCAAGCACTCATGGAGAGCTCGGTGACCTCGTCAGGCTTCCCAAACCCCAGCGTCCTCATTGCCATGAACCTGGCCGGAGCCCTCAGCCTGGAAGCCCAGACGCTGCTCACTGCCAAGCTCATAGCCAGTGACACCAATGGTAAGACCCTCCGCATGCTCCCTGGACCTCTGCACACTGTTCACCACCCGTGGACCCCCAACTCAAGCGTCCACCCATCTTCATGCTGCCTCTGACCATATCCTAATTACACAAATACCCTTCCCCACATGCCTGGATAGCGCCTGGAGAGAAACAGACGTAAAGCTTAGCACGTTCCTGGATGAGGGCAGCAAAGCAGAGAGAGCTCTTGACTAGATGTCAAAATAGCTCAGACTCGGTGACAATGGGTTAGCCCTTGATTGCTCTCAACCCCGTGTTGTTTACAAAACTGCTGATTCGAATAAGAATAACACAACAATAATAAAGTATCTGCTCGACCTACCTCACACAAGTTGCCTGGAGGTGCAAGATACCTGATAAAGTTTAAATTATTTGGCAACTATAAATCTCTCATATGCAAATTTTGATGGGTGTCCCAAAATTATTTTTATTATTTTGTAATAAATATCAGGGATTATGAATAGAGTCGTGATACTGAAGCCATCAGATTAGATATTCCTGAAATTTTTTTATGTTTCTTTTTTCCTTAGGAGAGATCAAGAAAAAAAAGCATTCTCGTGACCTTATAAAAAAGATCTTAGCCTTGGCCCTTGATGCCCTCACCCTCTGAGAAATGTGTGATTCTCTCTGTAGATTTAACCTTGGGTCAACTTGCCCTGAGCATCATGGCCCTCACCTCCTCCTGTCGAGACCCGGGGAATCGTGTATCGCTTCTACAAAGACAAATGGAGACCTGGGCACCTTCAAGTAAGATCTCACTGGCAGAGAAGGGAGAGTGAGGCAAATGGACCTTCCTGAGAGTTTTCACCCTAGGAGGAGGAGTTAGGGTGGGAATGTGGAAAGTGGGCAAGGAGAGACGATGTGGCCTTCCACCCAGGCCCCTGAATCAAGGCCCTAAGGGAGACATTTCCAAGCCAAAGTCGTGGACCTGATAAGTCCACTACCAAGGGTCACAGGCTTCTCATGTCCAACGCCTGCCTGAGGATATCGTCCCTGTCATGCTATTCAAATTCCTGGTGGCATTCCCTTTTGTAAGCCTGTCCTGAGAAACGGTGATGAAGTTATCTTGTGCACTACTGCGGCTTTCTGTTCAGACAGATCTTTCTGGTGATTTTGATTTATTTTGTTGTTGTTGTTTTGTTTTGTCTTTGTTTTTTATTTTGATTTATCAGTTGGGTTTTCCCTCCTTCCCAAATGACTTCCCAATGGTGAACGCTAGTCTAATGAAGTCTCTTTCTCCTCCCAAGGCCCCAACGCCGAGGCGTCATCCTTCTACGGCCCCAGTCTCGCAGTCTTGGCACTGTGCCAGAAGAACCCCGCGGCCGCCTTACCGATAGCAGCCCGCTTTGCCAAGTCCCTGCTGGCCAACACCTCCCCCTTCAACGTGGGTGAGTAGGCCAAGCCTCAAAGGCTGCTCTGAAGGGGGGCAAGGCAAGGGCACTGCCCCCTGAATTGGCTGGAGGAGAAAATGAGAATGAGGATTTTTTTTTTTTCTTACATGGAAGAGGAGCTGAGGGGGATGAGCATGTCAGTTGATGGGAGGTCACTAAGAACTGTTTGTTGAAGATGTGACCTAAGCAATAAACAAATGCAGGGGAGAGATGAAAGTATAGGAAGCAGGGCCATGTCTGGCATGTCTGATAGCTACATGAAATCCCTGGGAAACAAGACGCCGTCCACAGGAGTCAGGGGTTGTCCCGGGCAAACGGAACACTCAATCAATGACCAGTGTTACACGGCACTACTCAGAAGCACACCTCACTAATGATGCTTCCATAGTCTACCCTTCTCAATGTTTCTCCTCAGAACATCAAAATATCCTCTTTCTGGTGAACAACCACTCCAAATCCGTGGTGCCCTCCTTCAAGTATACACGGAGGCTCTCATTCCTGCACTCTGCAGTTCTGGGAGATGGGGAGAGCTTTCCTCCGCAGCCTCGCCTCCTTCTTCCATCCACCCTCAGGTCTCCCTCCCCTGTAGAATGGCCTCTGTGAAAGCCACATCAGCCCTTCATGGATGGCAGCCTTTTCTCCTCCATCACTCTCAAAGCATTAGCTTCGCTGTTCGCTCTCTTAGATGTGCTCCCAAAGTGTTCTAGTAGCTCAGCGGTCACCCATCCAGCTGCTAACCAAAAGATGGATGGTTCAAATCCACCAGCCACTTCAAGGGAGAAAGGGGAGGCTGGCTGCTCCAAAAAAAATTACAGCCTTGGAAGCCCTACAGAGATGGAGTTCTGTTTCATCCTGTAGGATCACTATGCATCAAAATTAACCATGGATTTTGGTGTGTATATAAGGGGCTTCAAGTGATTTGTGGAAGATGGAATTAAGAGATCATAGAACTTTTCCATGGGCCCTTTGAAGCCCGTTCAGTTGCTTCATTGGAAACCTGTCTTATGAAAGGTCTATCAAACCAACAAGCAGGTGGACACGTAGTATTGTCCCCATAGGTCAAGAACAGAGTGGCCTCTTTCCCATGAGGGACCTCAAGCATTTCCCGAGCTGTCTTCGTCTGCTCAGTGTCTGAATGTCTCCACGTTCGAGCTTCAACAACATCATCCACCTTAACTAGGTTTTGTAACTTTCAGACGGAGATTAGGGTGGGCAGGGAAAGCTCTGTGAAAGGAAGGAGAGATACCATCTGCCACATGTTTCCCTTTGTTCTGGTCTCAATGTGCCAGAGCTTGCTTGTTCCGTACACACGTTTATTGTGCAAACAATGAGAAGTGCTATGAAGACTGCAAAGCTCTCACCATCCCGAAGCTCCCAGGGCACAACTACAACAAAGCACGCCAGCACGCGCTGAGCTAATGAACAGGTCCAAACAACAAAGTCTAAAAGAGTGCAGAAGAGGTACCGGTCGTGCTAGGATGACCAGCACAGGCTTCGATGAGACCTAGCAATGGCTGGGCTGTGAAGAACCGGTGGTCTTTTTGAAAGACAAGCATTGAGTCTAGATGGGACTTAGTATGCCGGTCAGTCTACATTAATTAAAAGGATGAACTTCAGAGTCACGCAGAGCTGGACTCGAGACCCAGCACTGTCATTTATTACCTGTATCATCTGGGCCAGTTTCACTTGCTGGCACAATGGACTCAAACATGGCACCAACGGCGCATGCTGCACCACAATGGACTCAAACATGGCATCAACAGCACATGCTGCACCACAATGGACTCAAACATGGCACCAACGGCGCATGCTGCAAGGCGGGCAATGGTTTTGTTCTCTTGTACATGGGGCGCTATGAGTGGGAATGGGCTCAATGGCATAACAGCAATCACTTAGCCTCTCTGCCCCTCAGACTCCTCATCGCTTCTCACTGCCAACAAGTTGATTCCGATTCACAGTGACTCTATAGGACAGAGGAGAACTGCCCTTGTGGGATTCCTAGGCTGTAACTCTCTATGGAAGTAGAAAGCCTCACCCTTCTCCCCACAGAACTGCCACCTGAGTTTCTAGTCCTCATTCCTTCAGTGGAGTTCCTTACAAGTCTTATTTCACGGAGTGCCCTGAGAATATATGAGATAATATACTTGGTGCACAATCAGCACATCATCAGTGTTAGCTGTTCTTATTGTTCTGGTGGTTGTTGTCTTATTCCACCCCCAACCCACCCCCCACTGTGATTCACAGACACGGGAGCGATAGCAACCTTGGCTCTGACCTGTATGTACAACAAGATCCCCATAGGTTCAGAGGAAGGTTATAGAGCCCTGTTTGGTCAGGTCCTAAAGAGTACTGTGGAGGATATCAGCCTGAGGATCAATGACCGTGGCATCATCGGAGACATCTACAGTACCGGCCTTGCCATGCAGGTAAATACATCACGGATACTCTTTGTTGGGTCTATGCCAAGGAGGTTGGATCATGGGATTAAAAGACCACGCTTTTGCTAAATCTGGAGGAAAGGCCAGCTTGTGTGACTTGGGTTAGACTCCTCGTTGTACCTGTGTCTCAATTTCACTACTAGTAAATAGAAACCAAACAAACAAGCCCACCACCATAGGGTCGGTTCTAATTCATAATGGCCCCATGGGGTTTCTGAGGCTGTACATCTTTATGGGAGCCAATGGTCTCATCTTTCATGGAGTGGCTGGGGGTGGTTTGAATGGCTGACCCTTCAGTTGGCAGCCCCGCAGTCACCCAGCAGTGCTGCCAGGTCTCCTTCTGCCCTCCCTCACAGGTGAAGGGTGAAAGCGAATCTCCGTGAGCTTGTTTCCACTCACTGGGGGAAAGAAACAAATCCAAGAACTCTTTGGCTTTCCATTAACAATTGTCAACGTGCTGACAGCAACTATACACTACAAAAGTTGGATAGAGGAATAAAAAGCATAATAAAGTCAGCCTCAAAACAAGATATTGGATATTCCAATTTGATGTTGGCCAAGGGTGGTTGTGCTTTTTCCCAGACCCCGACCTTGAACCAAAAAAGGCAGGCTTGAATTCAAACAGATTCATAAAAATCATCTACACCTGACTGGACATCTAATATTTGTCAGACTTGTCCGCAATCTCAATCTCATTCAGACCCCACAAGTAACCCTCGTAAATGGCAGAGCCGTGTTTGTCCGGTAGCCAAGTGGTATTCCCATTGATGCTTCCCCAGTAGATCGCCAGCGTGGACTTTCTAAGATGCTGATTGATAGGACCTTTAAATCCAAACCCCCATTCAGTAGTGCAGCATCCTCCCCTGGCATATGCATCAATGGCAGTGGGCAGAGAAAACCAACCACAATCAGAAAGTATAGAGCCTGCAGAGTTAAATCCTGTTATCCCAACTTAAGAACGTTGTGCTCCGAAGTCTCAACATAGCTATGTGCCTGTCCCAACTCAGAAAGTCTAGAAGAGAGAACTGCAGAGCTGTGAATGCAGTCATCACCCTAATTAACTCTCTGGTGGAGCAATGGCTAAATGCTCAGCTCCTAACTAAAAGGTTGGTGTTTCAAAGCCACCAGGCACTCCATAGAAGAAAGGTGTGGCCATCTGCGTCCAGAAAGATCTACAACCTTGACCCCCCACGGGGAGGTTCTACTCTGGCCTACAGGGTCACTATGAGTTGCAATTGACTTGATGGAAACAAGGAGGATTAGAAATAAATCGCTTCCTAAGGGGAAAGGGAGGAATGGAAACACATAAGCAATTAAATTAGGGGGGAAAGTCAGGGACCGGCATAAACAGCCTCAAGCTTAGTTCATGTTACGTGTAGGAGGAAATACAAAATGTCTACACCAATGTCCTCTGGAGAGGAGGGACAATGAAAACGAAGTAAACTGGCTTCTCTGTCAGCATCAAGGAGATATTGCCATCAAGAAAAAGTCTGTTTTCACAGCTGATCATACACAGAGCATTCCCAGGGCCAGGTCGAGAAAGCTTAGTGAGGATCAAAGCCAGTCTGGAAGGGGTCATGTTTGTGTTTTACTTAAAATAACCAGCCTTCCACTTAGTGCCAGACAAAGAAGTGTTTGTTTTCGCTAGTTTAGCTTGTGAATTCTGTTTGGTACCTTATCACTTGCAGGGTACACTCAGATAAGCTGTACCTGGGAATAAAGCTTTTCCTATGAAAAGGCAAGACGTCATCCATTCCTAAATGCTGTAGGCCATGTGGCTTTCTGATCAGGAGGCATATGTAACTTCTCCCGGCCTCGCTTGCTGCCCATCATGAAGTTTACCCCGGCAGTGTGAAACCTGAAATCACCAGGTGTCTGCTATGCACCCTCGTTCCAATTGAAAACCCTCTGGTGTCGAAAAGCAATGAACTCTGTCATCAAGTGAAAAACACACTTGGATTTGAATCCTAGATGTGCCACGATCTGGGGAAAATACTGGATTTATATGAATTTTTTTCCCCACAGTAGCGAGGTTGCAACTCAGCTAAAAGCAATGTGGCTGTTTTTTTTAAATCACATGCCACATGGGGTTAGTTTAGGTGACCTCAACTCAGTGCCATCAGGTTGATTCCAACTCATGGTGACCCTGTAAGTCAGCGTAGAATTGACTCTGTGGAGCCTCATCTTGCTCCCAAGGAGCAGCGGTGGTTTGAAACTGCTGACCTTGAGGTAACCCACTCAGCAGGGCGCCTGCATTTTATGGGAAGGGGAACATAAATCCCCACTTGAGGCAGAAAATGCAGGGCAGCGGCGGGGAGGGGGCTCTCAGGTCAAATGTCCAATGTGACGTTCAATACCTGTTCCTGGCCCCTGCCCAGGGCATGGCGGTGCTGAAAACCTCTATATTTTCAGTCTCCCCACAACCTTTTCCCAGAGGCCTCTTCCTGGGCCACCCACATCCCTTCCCTAAGGCCCTCATGGGTGTTTCTTCTGTTCCAGGATTTTTCTCTATCTTCTACCAGCATCCCAATGCCTTCAACATATCTCTATAGAGCTTGGGAGAAGGGATTTGATTGGCTTGTTCTCTGAACAATCATGAATGGCTTCTAATAACTCAATGTGCTACCAAGACACATCTCTCCTGGTAGAATGGGGAGGGGGAAGTGGCATGTAGACAAAATCGTGTTGCTGAGGAATACTGAATGGATGCCACGGAATCCAAAGGGCCTTATGGAGGAGCCCCTGACAAGAGACAAAGTTCAGTTACCAAGGGCAAGAGTGACAGTCATGGTGGTCTCAACAGTCTGGTGGTTCCTACCATGCACTACTTCTAGCTGAGAGTCATTTGTGACTCCCCCCCTCCCCTTCTCCCTCCTAAGCTTCAGGTGAATCCGTCACAGCAGCAATCCAGCCTTGGGCATGCTTTGGGGGCCATGCTCAGCACAGCTCTAAAGGAGAGGGGTTGGTAACTACAGTACCACCACAATACAAAATACTTTTGAATTGTATTTACAATTCACACAATACAAAATACTTTTGTGTATTTTCCATCTGAACCTCAAATAATCCCCCACAGGTGGGCAGGAATTATGTTTTCTATTTTGCCAATGAGATACAACAGTTACCAAGAATTAAATGACTTGCTTGGTATATGGAGACGGCAATAAAAGACTAAAATCATGCTATCAGGGAAGACTCTCTTGATCTCTGGCCCCATTTCCTTCTCTGCCATTTTATCATTTCTTCCAAGTGACTGAGGAAGACAATCACTGGAATTCCGATCCTTACTTTGATGGATCTGGTGGAATAAATACACAAAAAGGTGTGTTAATCCAGGTTGACGAATGCAGGGACATTCATATATGTGTATTAGAGCTTTATATCATAGAGCAATTGAATATTGAGAAAACATCTTAGCCCAGTCCATATCAAGTCCATAAGTCAGATATTATACCATATGTCCATACTAGCCCATAAATTACTCTTCAGACTCATGCAGTCACATGCAGTGAGGCAAAACATAGGAAAATCACAGGCTGGTGGATGCAAAGTCTTGTGGATCCAATGGCATGGAAACATCTCAGTGTTGGTATGATGTTCCTCCAGCTCCCTGAGTTGTGTCTCAACAGGAAGGCAAAGCAGAGAGAGAGAGAGAAGAAGTTCTCAGAATCTTCATGAGAAGGCTGTGCCCTAAGGAGGCATCATCACGCTGTGACTTGACTGACAGGCTAGCCTCTACCCCTTCACTCAACAATTATCTACCAACTACTGCCAAGAGGATTGGGGGACTCTGATTAGTCCAGACCAGGGCACAGGTCCAGCCTCCTGACCAGGGTAGGGAGCCTCTGAGTGATAGTCCTGGTGGCACTCTGATTAAAGTGACTGGCTGCTCACCAAAACCTTGGTGGCTTGAACCCACCAGCCACTGTGAAGAAGGAAGATGTTGCAGTCTGCTTCTGCAAATGTTTACTGGCCTGGAAGCCCTATGGGACCGTTCTACTCTGTCCTAGGGAATCACCAGGAGCCAACATCAACTCAGTAACAGTGGGTTTGGATTGGGGATGGAGTGACCTTCGTGACACAATCACGAAGTGGGAGAAGCTCACCAGTGGGTATCCAGGACAATGCAAAGCAAGGACGACTACCTCCATATGGCCAGGTCCTCTGCCATCAAATCCCCATGAAGAACTTGCTTTCCAGCAATCACCCTCGTATTATGTCTAAGAATTGTTAGTGTCTACAGCATTCCTGAGTGTTCCCTGATGAGTGTTGTGTGAATAGGTTGTGAAAGACAGTGAGCTAAGTGCTGGGGATGTAGCATTGGACAGATGTAGCTTCGAATCTCATGCAACTTTGATTTGGGATCTGGGGGATTGCAAAGATGAGAGGCTAAATTGATCCCTTAAACAGATTACAAGGACCAACTGGTGGCTATGCTTCATCAATCTCTCTGCTCTCCCTTTCTCTCTCTCCCCTTGTTCCCCAGGCTCTCTCTGTCACACCTGTGCAGCCTAACAAGGCGTGGGACTGCCAGAAGACCATGGATACGATGCTTACTGAGATTAAAGAGGGGAAATTCCACAACCCCATGTCCATTGCCCAAATCCTCCCTTCTTTGAAAGGCAAGACATACCTGGATGTGCCCCATGTGATCTGTAGTCCTGGTAAGAACTCTTTAAACATACGCCTCTGCTTAGGTCGTAAAGTGGCAACTTTGCCAAGAAGGATCTGTGGGTTCATTGTAAGTGGCCTGTGGGCTTGTTGGCCCCATTACACCTAGGTGGAGAGAGCCATATCTGACCGCCACTTCTCCACAGTTCGGTGCTAGTAAAGTGCCCTCAGGGTTCAGTCCTCCCCCCATAATATCTCCTTCATCCAACACATAGTTACTGAGCACCTGCTATGGGCAAAGCATTTTATGAGATGTTGGGAGGGGAAGATGCGTGGCCCCTGAAATCCCACAACACATCGCTTCATTCCGTCACTTGATGTCAGCTCCATACACCTGTGTGGACAAATGCTATGCAGCATCTTCTCATCTCTGCTCTTCACAATGTCAGAAAGAATAGGTGGGGTTAAATCCACAAAAGCTGGAAGAATTATATAATCATGAAAGAGAAATGCAAGTCGCATTGAGAGCAAAGATTAGGGGTTGTTTTTCGTCAGGGAGACTCTGGGGAAGCACAGAGTTGACATGTCAGCCAAATCTTAAGGACTAAGTATCGAGCCTTAGGGCCTAGCACAGGGCAAAAGGGTGAGTGGAAACCCGGCATGCTGCTTTTCTGCTTGAAATATCTTCACTTATCCAATGACAAATATAATGCACATCCCTAACATTCAAGCAGAAATCCACACTCTTAGAAGGGGCAGTGCAACTGGTACAGATAGGAACTGAAAATATAGGGAATCCAGGACGGATGAGCCCTATAGGACCAGTGGTATGAGTGGCAAAACAGGGAGGATAAAGGGAGAATGGGTAGGAAAGAGGGAACCGATTACATGGAACTGTGTGTGACCTCCTCCCTGGGGGACAGACAACCGAAAAGTGGGTGAAGGGAGACGTCAGACAGGGCAAGATATGACAAAATACCCATTTATAAACTATCAAGGGCTCATGTGGGAGGGGGGAGCGGGGAGGGAGGGGAAAAATGAAGACCTAATGTCAGGGGTTTAAATGGAGAGAAAATGTTTTGAGAAACGATGTACAAATGCGCTTTACACAATTGATGCGTGTATGGATTGGGATAACAGTTGTATGAGCCCCTAATAAAATGTTAAAAAAAAAAAAAAAAGAAGGGGCAGTGCAGCATACAAATGTCATCACCACAGACACAACTAGTGTTTGGTGTGAATCCCCCCAATTCTTCCTCCTAATACGATGGCAATGCAATGTATCGACCACCTTACGGTGCATGGATTTCCTAAGACAAGCGGAAATCACTGAGTTCCTTGTCTCTGTCAATGCCAAATTTGCGGAGGCCAAACTCACGTCTTGCTAACCATTTCGCTAAGCTGCAGCCCCATGAGTCCCCGACATTCAAGTTGTTTTTAAAGTGGTCACGGAGTACCTGCGAGAGTGCTGCACTAGTTGTCCAGGTACTTTCTTCGGTGGTCTGAAATGTACTACGTTAGTGCCAGATTCATTCAAGACGACAAAGGGACCGCAGCAACTGAACAAAGGGGTTATGTAAGGTACAAGATTCCTTCCGGGCTGCAAATTCTTTTAAGAAAATGAATGATCATTGTAAAGCTCTCCGGTCCTCAGTATCCCTGAATGAAACCAAGAGTTTTATTTGTAACACGTGGTTGTTAGGTACCATCGAGTCTGTTCCGACCCATAGCGACCCCATGCATAGCAGAATGAAACATTGTCCAGCCCTGCACCACCCTCACACTGGTATTTCTATATCGGCAGGGTCACCAAAGCGAACAGGTTTCAGCAGAGCTTCCAGTCAGAGAACAGACAACAAAGCTGTCCCGCTTCGGAGGAACCAGCTGCGAAAACCTTATAACACTAGTTCCTCAAAGAAGTCCACAAAAGCCACAAAGTCACTGCCATTTCTTGAACTGTTTTCTGAGAGGAGTTGTCACTGACAGATTTTTGTGCCCATAATAGGTCCCGTAAATTTTGACACAAACATTTTGTCCTATGGTGGTGGCTTATGTGTTGCTATGATGCTAGAAACTATGCCCCCCCATGTTTCCAATGCAGCAGCATCAACCACAGGGAGCTGGTTTCAGCAGTTTCCAGGTTAGGATGGGCAAGGAAGAAAGGCCTGTCAATCGAATTCCAACAATTAGCCGATGCTGCCCAAAACAGTGTTGGGAGACAAGCTCCCTAGCTTGAACCAACTGTCCTCAGCCATCGAGTCATTTCAGAATCAGAGCATCCTTAGAAGGCAGGGTAGAAAGCAGAACTGAACCCAGGAAGTTTACCAGGCTGTACATCTTTAAGTCTATACAGAAGCAGAATGCTATGCCTTTCTCCTGTGGAGTGCTTAGTGGGTTCCACCCACTGACTTTTCGACTGGCAGCCTACACTTTACACACTGCGACACCAGGGCTCCCTCCCTCATTAGAAAACACTGAACACACAGTGGCAGCAGCAGTGGGATCAAGCATATCAACAATCATGGCGAAGACAGAGGGCTGGGCAGCATTGTCTTCTCTTGTCCATGGGGCACCTAACCCCTTGGCACCTAACAATCATCTCTGACAAATTTCGTCTCTTTGCTCTTCACACAGGCGGAAGGCAGAAAGATAACGCTCTCTACACCTGAAAAAAATTGTGGTCTCAGAAACCAACAAGGGGGTTCTGACCGACATATTGACGGACAAGGTCAATATGAGTCAGAATCCACTCAGGGAGGTTGGTTTGGGTTTGAGTTTTGTCTTTGCTTTCGACAGATCACGAGGTGCAGCCAACTCTCCCCAGTCATCCTAGCCCTGGCCCCACCTCAGCATCCAACATCACGGTCATGTACACCATAAATAACCAGCTGAGAGGGGTGGAACTGCTCTTCAATGTGACCATGGATGTGAGTGTGAAGGGTGGATTGGCGCTACTTGTCGTCCTAGAAGAAGCGCAACGCAAAAGTCCCATGTTCAAGTGAGTGTAACAAGCAACCCTGACCGTTCTCCCCAGGCCTAAACCGAGTAGCCTCATCCTGTGTCCATATTTCCCTACCTTCTGATAATGGGACAAATGTTTATGTAATAGCCCTTGTTGTGATTATGAGGTGCTGTCGAGTCTGTTCCGACCCCTAGCAACCTTATGCACAGCAGAATGAACATGGCCCGGTCCTCCGCCATCCTCACAATCATTCCCATGCTGAAGCCCATTGTTGCAGCCACGGGGTCAGCCCCTCTCCTTGAGGGCTTCCTCTTCTTCACTGACCCTCTATCAAGTATGGTGTCCTTCTCCAGGGACTGGTCTCTCCTCGCAATATGACCAAAGTACATGAAACCTAGTCTCACCACCCTTGCCTCAAAGGAGCAGGCTGGCTGTGTTTCCTCCAAGATAGCTTTGTTTATTCTTTTGGCAACCCACGGTACTTTCAATATTCTTTGCCAACACTGTAACTCAATGTATCTATTCTTATTCAATGCCAAACTTTCACGTGCATATAAGGCAATTAAAAATATCATGGCTTGGGCCAGGCTCAGCTTAATCCTCAAAGTAATATGCTTGCTCTCCAAAACTCTAAAGAGTTCTTGGGCAGCAAATGTACCCAGTGGAATGTATCTTTTGATCTCTTGACTGCTGCTTCCAAGAGCATTGATTATGGATTCAAGTTGGACAACATCAACCTTTTCTCCATTTAGCATGGTGCTCCCTATTGGTCCAGTTGTGAGGATTTTGGTTTTCTTTACATTGAATTGTAATCCATCCTGAAGCCTGTAACTCTTGATCTTCATCAGCAAGGACTTCTTAAGGTATCCAAAATCTAGTAAGTAGGCAAGATTTTCATGAGGAAATTAAACCATATAAATCCATATATAATGAAAGTTTTAAAAATAGGAATTCAGAAAGAGAACGTCTATTGCAGTTAGAATAGTCAAGGGAATTCTGTGACTTTGGACCACATTCAAAGGATAGATGCCATTTGGGAATATATGGAAATGGGGGCCTAGGAGTAGGATACGGCCAGAACAGGGCACCTGAGATGGAAAAGAGCCAGGACTCTGGGGTCAGTCAATAGATCACTTTGTCTAGTGGGGAAAATACAGGACTGAGTTAAGTGAGTAATATCTATTAAGTGAGTAATAGCTAGCACTCACACATTAAGGGTTGAGTCTGACTTAAAGCAACCTTGTGGAACAAAGTAGAACTTATACTGTAGTTTTCCAAGACTCCCTCAGAGTGGCTGGTGGGTTTGAACTACTGGCCTTATGTTTGGTTAGCAGCCCAGAGCATGACCCACTGTGCCTTTCTAGGACAGTAGGCTGGGTTATAAGGTAAGCAAACAAACAAACAAAAACCTCACTGCCATCAAGTTAATGCTGACTCATATGACACCCCACCCCCACCCCCTCTGTGGGTTTCTGAGACTGTAACTGCTGATGGGAGTCGAATGCCCAGTCTTTCTCCCTCAAATGTCGACCACGCAGATCCCAGCCCAACTTGTAACCAACCACTATAACCTTAGGGGACAAGGTAAAAAGCCTGAAAGGCCAGGCTAAGGAGTGTGGGCTTCACTTTGTAGGGAAGCATTGCAAGTCTGTGAGTAAGAAAAGACATTTTGTAAAATGTTAAGCAGATTGGAAGAAATGAAGACAAAGAGGAAAACTAGGGAACGACTTGATAATGAAGCTGTAAGATGAAGAGATTTCATCTATGTAACTGAGAGCCTCATCTGGACTAGAGGGACCCAGACCAAGGAAGACCCCATCGGGTTCTGAGCCACAGGATGGGGAGGTTAGGAGAAAAAAGTCTAAGGTTGTCAGGGATGATTGTTAGATGCCAAGGGGTTAGGTGCCCCATGGATAAGAGAAGACAATGCTGCCCAGTCCTCTGTCTTCGCCATGATTGTTGATATGTTTGATCTCACTGCTGCTGCCACTGTGTGTTCAGTGTTTTCTAATGAGGGAGGGAGCCCTGGTGTCACAGTGTGTAAAGTGTAGGCTGCTAGTTGAAAGGTCGGTGGGTGGAACTTACTAACCACTCCACAGGAGAAACACGTAGCATTCTGCTTCATATAGATTTAAAGATGTACAGTCTAGTAAACCTTCTGGGTTCAGTTCTACTTTCTACCCTGCCCTCTAAGGATGCTCTGATTCTGAAATGACTCGATGGCTGAGGACAGTTGGTTCAACCTAGGGAGCTTGTCTCCCAACACTGTATTGGGCAGTGTTCAGTTGTGAGCCATTGACAAAATGAGAAGGCTTTTGGAGATAGAGAGCCGATTGTCATCTGCTAGATGATGACAAGAGTTTCGAAACTGAGTCGTAGGTGACAGAGCCAATCCACTCAACAAAGCCATGAGACAGGACTAATGATCCCATGTTAGAGCCAGGCCCACTGAGATCCCAAGAAGTTAAATAACATTCTGAAGATCACACTATGTGTAACAAACTGTGGAGCTCGGAGTCCAGATTTGACTCACTCTGAAGTTCAGGTGGGTTCCATTGTCCTATCCAAAAGGGGCAGGATATGTAAATAAATCAAAGAGAATCATTTAATTTGGGGAAATGTCTATCGTTTGCAAAAATAAGAGGAAACTGTGGAGAACTGCAGATCAGTCTAGGTTTAGAGAGATGAGAGGGAAAGTGCGAGGTCAAGGGAGGGAAAAAAAGAAGCTATTTCCCAAGGAAAGATGAGGTGATCCACAGCATGTAATCCTGCAGCCAGACGTTCAGGAGGAAGACTGACAAGGGGAGACGTGGGGTAAAAGGGAGCTGATATCAAAGAGTTCAAGAAGGAAAAGAACGATTTGAAACAGATGGTGGTAGCAATTGTACGATACTGCTTGATGTGGCTGAACTATGATATGATATCTGTATTAGCGCCCAATAAAATGGTTTGGGGAAAGAAAGAAAAAAAGACTGACAAGTGGTGAATGAATGGTCCCCAGTGACCTATTCCATGAGATGGACTGACACAGTGGTGTAACAATGGGCTTGAGCATGGGAACGGTTGTGAGAACGCTGCAGGACCGAGCAGGCTTTTGTTCTGTTGTGCACCAGGGTCTCTATGAGTTGGAATCAACTAATGGCCCCTCACACGCACCTGCTGAGTGCACTGTGACTGCTGCCACTGCCCAGCTCCGTAAGGTACACGGCGCCCCAAGACTGACCCAGTTAAAGTTGCATTTCAAGAATATTTCACTGTCTTGTAACACATGTACATCATGGAATGCTATGCAACCGGCAGAAATGAAATGCTGATGCACGCAATAGTATGCATGAAACTTGAAGACACTCTGCTGAGTAAACTAAGCCAACCACAAAAGACAAGTGTATGATCTCACTTATACAAAAATACCCCCAAAAGGCAAATGTATAGAGACCAAAGTTAATTAGTGGTTAGCAGGTTAGGTGGGAGGGAAAGTGGGGAGTGGTTAACATTGATGGAAAACCCTCATGAAGGTTAGAGTCACCCAGCTGATTGTTTTCTCATTGTTTTACTCTGATCGCCGTTGTACATTTGTAAAAAGTTGAACTGGCAACGTTTTGTGATAGGTATCAGCAAAAGGACATAGCTACAGGGCTACTTAGAGATAACCAAGCACTTCCTGGAAGTTGGTCCCTTGGTTAAAGGTTTAGGGTCTCTTGGAACATTCCAGTTAATTAGCCTAATAAGGCATGCAGTGCTTCTGTCCTCCCTCCGGCATCATTCCATATTGCCAAGGGTCTTAAAAGCTTTTGGGGGCCATCCAAGGTCCAATAATTGGTTTCTCTTCACCTGAAGCAACAGAGGAAGGAGAGTCGGGAACAGGAGGTGAATATGCAAAAGTGTGGCTCATTGCCTCCCTGAACATTTGCCTCCGACACTGGAAACTGGGTGAAGACCTCCACCCTGTCTAAACATCTTGATCAAAGATTCCATAGAAGAATCCTGATCAAGAGGGGGAAATGCAGAACAGAATTTCCAATTCTCCTGTATTCTAGACTTTCTGGTGTCATGGAGGATGGGTAAAACTCTGATACTGTTGCCCTGAGATAATCTTTAAACCTTAGACTAAAAATCTCCCCTGAAGTCTTCTTAAAACCAAACAATATTATAGCTTAACTCTAAATTAAAAAGGATCTGCCTTGAACATTATACTCTCTAAAGAAATCTCGATATGGGACCACATTGACACTAGGAACTCAAAAAGATTAGTTAGAAACAAGAGGTTCCAGTGATTTTATGTTAATGAGGAATAACTCAGAAAAAGAGAATGAGGAGAGTTGCATGGTTGGAATAATGTAATCGATGCCACTAAATTGTATCAAGAGAAATTATTGAATTGGTGTATGCTGTGTATATTCTCAACAACTAAATAAATAAAATTTAGGGAAAAAATACTTAGCTTTCAAAGCAACATTTTGAAGGTACTCTACTTCTTCCCTAAGCTAGCTTTCCTTGCTACTGATTACACACATAATAAATGTGTATATTAAAAACACTGAAGAGAAAACAGTAGAAAGAAGAAAACAAATCGTCTAGAGTCCAACCAATATAGATACTTTGTATAATCAGATAGTTTTTGCCATGCATATTCCAAATAAATGTCCATGGGATAGATAACATGAGATAGATATTTCATAAAAATGTATATGTTATCATTTACTTAACACTATTGCATAAGCATAGCAGTTCTCGTGCATTCTCTTATGATTTCTCAGGTCGCTGAAGATTAGGAGAAAATATAATTTTCATAACTGTAAATATTCTGTCTTGAATACTCGTTTCATCATTTACTTAATCACTTATCCATTGTTGGGCATTTGCATATTCGTAGGTTTGCTTACTGACTCATTTTCATTCTATTTCATTTCACGTATGGGAATGTCACATTCCTCAGTAGCCGCATGTCTTCTTCTGAGCAGGATTTCATGTGATCTTTAAAGCACTGGGGAGGTCTCTAGCCCCTCATCTTTAACCTCTTGTGGGATGACACCTGAGCCAACTCTGGTTTTGTTCTTGCAGATTTGAAACCACTATGACATCCTGGGGTCTCGTCGTCTCTTCTATCAACAACATTGCTGAAAATGTTAATCACAAGACATACTGGCAGTTCCTTAGTGGCAGAGCGCCTTTGAAAGAAGGTCAGAAAAGAAAAGGAACAGGGCATATCTCCCATAGTCAGAAAAACCTTTCATTCTATTTAATTTATCCATTTACTCCATTAATAACCATAGGATTGTGCATGTATGTCGAGTGGTTGGAAAGACAGTAGTATATACACTGATATACGTCTATGCAGTTGGGTGGCTGGGTGAAGAGATTGCTACTGTTAGCCGCACAGTTGACTCCAAGTCAGCGTGACTTCACATCTGTGCTCCACAGTTGTCAAGGCTGGGACCTTCGAGAAGCACATCTTCCAGGGCACCTCCTCTTGGAAAGTTCGAACCGCCAACTTTTCAACTAGCAGTGGAGCACTTAACCACACATGATGATGATGATGATGATGATGATGATGATGATGATGATAGAGATAGATGATAGATAGATAGATAGATAGATAGATAGATAGATAGATAGATAGATAGATGGTGAGCTACCAAAACAGCTTTAAAAACAAATTGAGACACCAGACTATACTCTGAACCAGCAGTGAAATAGCTAATGACAAGTGATGTGAACCGATTGACTGAAAGCCATAAAGGTCCAAAGGAGGAAAAAGGAGATTAACATGAGTGAGGCAAAAAAATGAAAAAAAAAAATAAGATGAAAAAGTAGTAAGAATTCTAAGAATGGTGATGACTTTGGCATTAAAATATCAAACATAGATCTACATATGACCTCCCTGGGGGACGGACAGTGGAGAAGTGGGTGAAGGGAGACGTCGGACGGTGTAAGATATGACAAAATAATAATAATTTATAGATTATCAAGGGTTCATGGGGAAGGAGGGAGCGGGGAGGGAGGGGGAAAATGAGGAGTTGATACCTGGGGCTCAAGTAGAAAGCAAATGTTTTGAGAATGATGAGGGCAACAAATGCATAAAAGTGCTTGACACAATGGATGGATGGATGGATGGATGGATGGATGGATGGATGGATGGATGGATGGATGGATTGTGATGAGTGGTACGAGCCCCCAGTAAAATGATTTTTAAAAATATCAAATATAAATGTGCAAAGCAAAACCACAGTTGATCTACAGCCAGTGGAAAACTAATATGAGATAAGACTAATAGCTCCTATTTGTACATGTTATCTTAGTTCATGCCCACAGGAACTCTGTAAGTATTCGTGGCTCTTTTTACAGAGAAGGAAAGCTAAGACACTAGAGCCAGTTGTACAGGATGCACCTGGGTCTGTGATAGAGCACAAATCCTTCTCAGGGCCTCCAACCCCTCGTTCTCAGGCCACCTTCATCTCAAGAATTGACCTGGAATCAAACAGGTTTATTCTCGTATCTGCCCATTAGTTTCCTCTCTAAAAGAGGGAATGCTAAACGGAAAGGTCAAGAATAAATAAAGGCCTCAGGTATCCAGAAACAATTGGGCTTGAGATTGCCATTCTTTCTAATGCCTGGCTCTTCTTACGCTACTGATGGATAGCATCACCATTTCTTTCCTGCCTACAAAGACAGGAGTTCACAGTCCACCGCCTTTCCTTACTTCTACAAAATCCTCCACAGTGAGCCGGAGCTGCTCCATGGCATGCTCTGGTTTGGGCCCGAGCCTTTTTAAATAATTACTAGCATTGATTACACATGTATCCTGTGCCAGGTAAAAGCCATTATTTCTAATCCTGAAAAGAGCTCCTAAGAGTAAATGTGTTTCACACATTTTGTAAATGAGGGGAAGGAGGCTCACCTGAGCAACTCAAATGGTTTACCCAAAGACACACACTCCACAAAATAGGGATCTGGGCACTAGAAATATGGGACTTTGAATCCCGGTGTTATGCTTTCTCCATCTTCATCAAGCTACCCCGTTCACAGTTGGATAATTTTAATCCTTTGCCAAATGAAATGGGCCGAACCTTTGGCGAGTCAGTGTGTACCACCTCCATCTCATGTTATTTTCTGTTTGATCCAGGTGTTGCAGACTACATACCCTTCAACCAGGAGCACATCACAGCCAACTTCACACAATACTAACAAGAAGATGGGTTGGGGCTCCACCCACCCTCTCCAGCTGATTTGTGGTATTTTTTCATTTCATTTCAAATTGATGAAAAATAAAATACTCGTGGTGCTACTATATCCCTGGGTTTTGAAAAAGAGGCCAGAGGAGGACCACTATATAGAATAAAAGATGCAAATTTCCCTGGAGCCTCAATATTGGTGATTCATGGGAAAATAATGTCCAACTTTTCAAGGTATTAACTGCTAATCATCATCTAAACACAGGGTAAGGTGAAAGGGGGGAGGCAAGTTAATCTTTTGTGAGATCATTCGGTTCTTCTTGATTGATAAGCCAACATAATCCTTCATTTTGACAACTGAAAGAATATATTTTTTAAATCTCCCAGGTTTGTTTTTATGCCAACTATAGCTTTTTCCAATCACCAACTATAAACAATACATGCCTAGAATATCCCCTTCAAAAATCAAGTTAAACAGATATGGAAACAGGTAAGGAGATGATGTGGGTGTAGACCTTCGCAAGAAAAATTCAAGCTTCTGATGACAATCATAACTCTAATCTCTGCCAGTAGAACTCACTGGTATAACTTTTTTAAAGTGGAAGAAGAATATTTAAAAACATTTATCAAGAGACCTGAAATATCATTTGCTTTAACAACAAAAAAATCCCATTTCTGAAATGTATACAAAGTTGAGAATCCTAAGAGCACACATGTTGTTAGTTGCACTCTTCTGTACGACAGCAATACACTGCCGAGTCTTCCCATCATCGATGTGTTTGAGCCCATTGGTGCAGCCCCCGTGTCAAGCGCTCTGGTTGAGGGCCTCAGTCTTTTTCACTGACCCTCTCCTCTAGCAAGCACGATGTCCTCTCCAAAGACTGCTCCCTCCTGACCACATGTCCAAAGTACATGGCATGAAATCTTGCCAACCTCGACTCGAAGGAGTTCCAACTGTACTTCGAAAAAGAGAAATTTAACATTACCGTATATACTCGAGTATAAGCCGACCCAAATATCAGTCAAGGCACCTAATTTTACCACAAAACTGCATTAAAAGTGTGCTGAAAAACTCAACTTCTACACGACTCTATACGGTAAATCCTCAACAATTTCTATCTTTTCTCCATGGACCATGCTGTTCTTAATTGGTTATGAGGAGTTTTATGTTCTTTGTGTTGAGATGTAACCCATACAGGAGGCTGTGGTCTCTGATCATCAGTTAATTCTACAAGCTTTCTTCAATTTCAGAAGCAACGTTGCTCACTGGCATCTCGAAGGTTGGTCATGAGTCTTCCTCTAATCGTGATGCGTTGTTCTTCTTCATATAGTCCAACTTCTCAGATTATTGGCTCAGCATACAGACTGAGCAAGTATGGTGAAAGGATACAGTCCTGACACACATCTGGCCTGGTTTTAAACCACATCCTTCTATTCAAATGACTGCCTTTTGTTCTGGGTTCAGGTTCTGAATGAGCACAGTTAAGAGTTCTGCAATTACAATGCTTCTCAAGGCCATCTATAGTTTGTTATGACCCACCCAGTCTACTGACTTTGCCTAGTCAAAAAAATACATCGTTCTGGTGCTCTCCAGTGTCAGCCAAGATGCATCTGGCATCGGCAGTGATCTCCCTTGTTCCACATACTGTTCTGAATCTGGCTTGAATTTCTGGCAGCTCCCAATCCAAGAACTGCTGGGACTTTTTCAATTATCTTGAACACAATTTTACTTGTGTGTGCTATTAAAGAAATTGTTCAGTAATTTGTGCATCTACCTTTCTTTAAGATGGGCTGGGGGGTGGGGGGAATGGGCACGAATACAGATCTCTCCCATCAGGTACTTCGGGCACTGCATCAGTTTGTTAAAACGTCTCGATTGCTATTCTGTCAGTTCCTGGAGACTTGTTCTTCACTAGCGCCTTCAGTGCAGCTTCGACTTCCTCCTTCAGTACCTTTGGCTCTTGACCAGATGCTGCCTCCTACAATGGTTGAATATTGAAGAATTACTTTTGGTACAGTGATTTTGTGTAGTCCGTTCATCCTCTTTGCTACTTCCTGCGCCGTTCGTTATTTTGCCATGAACGGAACGCATGGCCCTCAAGTCCGCTCCTACTCACAGCGACCCTGCAGGACGGGGTAGAACTGACCCTGTGGGTTTCCAAGGCTCTAACTTTTTTTTAAAGATGAGACGGTAACTTTTTATTGGAGTAGAAAGCTTCATCTTCCTCTCCTTTTGCCAATAGACTCTTTCAATATTGCAGCGTAAGCTTTGAATGGATGCTCTAGTTCTTCCAGCTTGAGAAATGCCACGCACAGCCTTCCCTTTGGGCTTCCTACGTTCAGGTCTTTGTGCATTTCCCTAAGATACTTCACTTTGTCTTCTCAATCTGCCCTTGAAGGTCTCTGTTTCACTCATTCACTTCATCTTTTATTTCTGTGCACGTTGGCTACTCTTTGTGCAAAAGCAAGTTTCACCGCGTATCTGTACCATGGTGGCTTGCTGTTTGCACTGATGCCGGAAGCCACTGTATTTCAAATACCCACGAGAGATTTCAGCACAGGTTCCGAACTAAGACAGACCGGGAAGAAGGTCCAGGCAATCTGCGTGGGGGGGGCGGCGGAAAGGGCTACTGAAAACGTTGTGGATAGAAACACAGACGAAGGGGAGGACACCACACCAATCGGCTTCAGATGTGAAGACTTTGTTTTAGGTGAATTCATGGTGCTAGGTGGGGATATATCAGCGGGACTGAGGGAAAGTGTGAAGGGGAGTAGTAAGTTAATGACAACAACATCATCATCATAACGCATGGGTTCCCTTGTATGGGTGGGATGTGTGTGAAGTGGAATTCCTTGGAGTGACTCTTCGCTCCCGGTCTTTGCAACTCCCACCAAACAGTTGGGTGGAACCAGGGACATGGGGTAGGAGAAACACTCATCGAGGGGACTGGTCAGTTTTGCCATTCTACTGGGTATAGAAGAGTGAGTCGTCTCATAAGCACAGAGGGAGAATCCGGGGACCCTCGAGAAAGAGGAATCACCAGTGGAGCTTGTGCTCAGCATCGAGACCATGAAGCAGAGCGGCAGGCTTGCCAGTGTGTGGAACCAGGAAGAGACCAAGGGGCCATGTGGCTGAAAAGCCAAGGACGGGAGATGGCCAGCATGGCTGAGAGAGGTGCTGCAGAGAAAAGACCTGCGTCCTCATCCTCTTGTAACCCATTAGCTTCCCTAGCAAAGCCCATAAGCGCGAGTCTTGGCTGGGAGATGTGTGTGGCCACTGCAGCGAGTTATCAAGCCTAGCAGAGGAGCAGAATCCGATGGGAGAGACCGCTGGTGTGGGAAGAGGGTAGAGGAAGCAGTAGGGGGAGGCCAGGTGGACCTCTGCCTTGTGACAATCAGCCTGAAGGCTGGTGTGGCGCCAGCTTCTTCATCTCCCCACTGAAGCAGGAGGGGCTCAGCCGTGACCCCCATGCCATCCCCTCAGGTGGAATGAGGGGGACACTGTACGTCACAGCTGCCATTCTGCTTTCAGGAAGGGCCTTCATAGAGTGAATTTACGTTTGAAATCAGTATAAAAACGAGTGCCACTATCATCAGTTATAAAAGAGGGATAAATGATCACAACATAAACCAAGCCATCTGGAAGTGCCTACATAGGTAGACGTCCCATACATTTTGTTAAGAATACTATTTCCCAAGCCTTACTTGGATTTTTTTGACATATGTTTCCAAATACATTTTCTGTTTCCAAATACATTTCTACATTTGTCACACTTTCACTATGAAAGGTTTTATTTTACTTTTTCTTTGTTCACATGGGGCCATTGTGCATTTTAAGCTTTGGTCCCTCTAATTCCTCTTTTAGCTGTTGAGCGCGATAAATGAAGGCACATGTTAATATCATTGACTAAGACACCTAGGGTGTGTGTGTGTGTGTGTGTGTGTGTGTGTGTGTGTTTAAGATGGCGGTACGCAAATTTATGAAAAATATCTAAACCAAAGCCAAGACCAGCTGCTCATACCCAGAGAAGACTTACCCAGGGAGAAATCTACCATTCCCTGAGAGGCCTCATTTCACTGCTTCCACCGATATTTTCTCACAGCCCCACAAACAAGAGACAGGTGTTGCTGGCTAGCATGTCCTCACCTCGTGTGGTGCCTGGCAGATGAGGGGGGAGGGGAGTATGCTGAAGCAATACAGTAAACTCAGAAAAAAATTAATTCCAGTTGGAAAAGGCAGTCTACAGACAGTGTGAACCTGGAAGGAATGCAAAGCATTTGAGTAGCCTGACCATTCTGCCTCTGCTAGTTAACAAGCAGAGTGATGCGGGCAAGCCTCTAATTAAAGTCGGGATCCGTTTCCTCACCTATAAAACGAGGGGGGGTTAGCCTAGAATCAGCTCTCAAATTCCTTCTCGTTCAGAAAAATCTTAAGAATTATATTCTCCAAGATATGAATACTGTTCGCAATAAGCTTCCTATACAGATATGCCCACTGCAGTAGGGAAGCATCCGTTAAAGTCTACAAACCACATGCAAACACATCCATATGTGCTTTCTTCTGATGCTTAGGGGCCACACCTGATTTGGACCTGCTTTCTGGAGCGGTAACAAGTGCTTTAGTGACCTCTACTGGCCGTGCTTGGTAAAGGCTAAACTTTCTTTAAATTGACCTCTTCAATGGACCTCTTGAGAGCTCAATAACACACACGCTCTGGTTTTGGTTTTGTTTGTTAACTTTTTTATTACGGACTTGAAGGTTTATAGAACAAATTAATTTCCTATTCAACCATCCACACACTTTTTGTTTCAGGCCAGAGGTTTTGAGCCCCACAGTGGGGTAGCCCTCCTTTCACCTCCTCCCTGTACTTCCTGTTTCCATGCGTCATCCTACTTCCTCTCCCTTCCTACTTTTGGAACTTTGTCCCACTGCAAACGCTGACCCTTTGATCTTGCACGGATCCCTGTTCTAAGGCACGTGTGCCTCCCTGGCCGTGCTGTCACCTTCCACGC